CCTCCTACATACTCTTTCCACTTTGTCTCTAGTGTCTATTACAATTTTTAATGCTTTTATATTCTCCAGTCTTTCAGTCTCTACCATAGAGTGCCTATGATTATTTTTCAAAAAAGACATAAGCATTTTAAAATAACATGGTCACAAAATTTATTCATAAGTTATTATATAATATTTTGTATTTATTTTGAAATAGATGATGGCTCCATGTAACCCATGCATGTTCTAAGTATGTTTAAGTGTACCTGCATACACACATACACACACACACACCTGTATGCAAATTTAAAAATATGCAAAAGTATGAGTAAAATTCCTCTTATACTTAGGCTGTTACCATACATTATGTATGCATACCCATTATTCATGAGGTGTTTAGTCTTTGATCTTGCCCAATTCTTTTGTAAGGTATCTTTAAAATTTCAGATGCTATATGACAGCTTTGGAAAGGTTTGTTATTTGAAAAGGTAATTGCACCACGACATGAAATCTAGTATACTGAAAATAAAATACAAGTGGGCAGATAATTATATATCCATTTTTTGGTTATTGGATATGCAGAATAACAATAATAGCAAAAATGTGGAAAATGCTTCCTTGTTTTTTAGGTTTCAAATCCACCATGCGGAATGGATTTTTATAGGGCATATACTTGTTCATGACCCCAAATGTTAAGAAATTCTGTCATGTTTGAAAACTAGTCCCCAGTGGAGCCTGTATCCCTGTTAATAGCTGAAAGGTCAATGGAGCTGCTAAACAGTTTGTATTACTGTCAGGGTGGCCATGAAAACACCACCTGCTGCAAGAGGACTTGGCAGCTGGGTCAACAGGCACTGTGGGAATTTATCAACTTAGGGGGGCCACTTGCATAAAACTTTGACTGATGAATTGGGACTAGACTGGCTTATTGGGCTAAAGCTGCTCTATTATGTATAACTTTCTTTAGGATGACAGAGTTGCCGGCTGGCTCCCTGAGACATAGGCAAAGGATAAACAGAACTGATTTCCCTTTATGAAGTGATTTTTTTTTAAAGCACTCTTCAGCATCCAGCATAATAAGGAGTAGGATCAAGATATTAAGAAAAAATAAAGGGCAGAAAGTGAGGCCATGGGGGGAGGAGGAGCAGGAAGCATGAGGGACAATTTTTTCATATTGGTCACACAGGACATGGGGGGATACAACATTTCTATTAAGTGACCTCTCCAGCTTGGAATTTGCATTGTTAATTTATAGGTCTTTTAAGGGAATATTTTTATAACTCAGCTGGGTAACAGAGAAGCAATGTGTTAAAATATAATAAAAGTGGGTACATAATAATTAAATAAATGTGATTAAGAACAATCTTGTTTTTACAAATTCTTGCAGAAAGAAACCTTGGAAACATTTCAAAATCAAAAAAGATCATTTGGTTTAAGTTCATCTGAAACAAAAATTAAAGAATTTTTGTTAATAGTGTGGAAAAACTTAAAAGTAAAGCTTTAAAATTCTTTATTTCCATTCATTTATTTAACACTAAAAAGACTTAGTGAAGAGTAGGCATGTAAGGCATGACTTAGACATTTGAAAAGTAAGTATTAAGAGCTCTGAAAGCTGCATCAAGGGCTAGCCCTTGGCATAGCGGTTAAGTGTTGCGTATTAGGAGCTAGATCCCACATGGCCAACTGGGGTTCAAATCCTGGCCCCAGTACCTTGAAACATACTGTGGGTAGGAGCTACAGAGCATATGTATGTATCAAAAATACTAATGGGACGGAGAAATGGAAGAAAATGGATTGTGGCATGACCACACCCCATTGGGGGTGCTTTCTCTCTCTCTCTCTCTCTCTCTGGTGAGCACACAAACCCTCTGGCAACTACGAGAAAAAAAGCTGCTTTGTCATCTTTATCTATATATTTTTTCAAATTTAGTTAATACTTTTCTTCTTATTATTTATACATTCAATCACTATATATCATTTAAATTGTAAAGAGATTTTACCCAACATCATATATGCCACACACCAGGCAAGTTGAGAAAGAACTTTAAAAGTTGGGAGGTCACCTGTAAACAACTGTGGAATGCATGGAACGAACGCCAACATTTCTAAAGAATTTAACATGTTTTAGATATAGTACTTAATTACCTCATTAGTCATCTGTAGAAACGAGGCAGGGATGGAATGATCATCTGTACCGTTCTGATGTGCAAAGGGGGACAGGATGGTGAGGTACTTATGTAAGGACCTGCACCGAGGAAGATGTCAGACCACCTGGCCCCATGTCCTACCAGGCTAGGACTAGTCCTCGTCTTGACTAGTTTCAGGTGGCGTTTCTAAGTGAAACCAAAATGATTGCCCAGACCTTGTTCTCAGTTTATCTAGGTGTGTTTTCTGGAAGTCCTAGCTGCAGGAACCCCCAGGCTTGGGCATGCTGAACCCAGTATCAGAGGCTTTTTGGGATTCTGTGAGTTGGTCAGTTCAGCTGGATGACTGATGTTGGCTGGGTCATTTTGCCATAACATGTGATTGCTCTACCCATTCAAATGTGTTCAGTATCCTAACATGAAGGCAAAATTAATTTCTATTTCTCTAAGGAAGTATTTTTTTCCCCTCTCCCTCTGCATGTATGTGTGTCTGTAGGGAGAAATAGAAAAGATTAAAGACACAAATCCTACAGTCAAAATGTAACTTCTATGACATGTGATATAGAATGTAAAAATTTTATAATCTAGTGTTTATCTTTTTCAGGACCATAAATCAACTGATGTTTGAAAGTTATTCTGAAAACATTATTCTAGCAAGTCTGGAGGCTTCTCCACAAGAATACAATGAATTAACTTAAGAGTATAATTTGGCTTAGATTTTTGATATAATAAGAAATGTCTGTATATAATTTTTTTATAGCTGGTGAGATTCTTTCTTCAAATTCTGCCTCAAAAACCATAGAAAAAGTTTTTTTCTCTGACACAGACATCCTGAACACTATGCTAGTAATTAGCTTGTGTTTCCAAAATAATCCCATTCACATACTTAAGTGTCTGCTTATATAGAACTTCAACTCATCTAGGGAAAATACTAGAATAATAAACGTTGGTGTCCAAATCAAAACAGCATGAGACTCCCAACAAATGTTTATGAAAACATTTGTTTTCATACAGTCAGTTTAATTTTGAAATTTATGCCTATGTCTGTGTACAAGGACAGTGTCTCTGGGACTCTGTTACTTCCCCCACCTTCTGAAAAGCAAACACAGATCTCAACCCTGGCCCCACACATGACATGACTCACCAGAAACAGGCACCATAACGAGAAGTCAGGCCTTTAGGTATGTCACTCTGAGACCACCCTACTAGAGGAGGCCCTGAAATCACAAAGCCAAGGTCCCTTATGGCAACCTCAGTAATTAGACACTAATAATGGATGGAAGGTGTAAAATTCACCTCAACTCACCAACAGACTAAACAATCCAAATGAAGAGAACAATTTTTTCTGAAGAGAGAGAATTTGTTACAATACTACCAGGAAGCTTGGAATGACATATAGACTTTGACAGCATAATGGATTTAACAATGACTATTTTGAAACTATTTGCATTAGATCTGAGTGAAATCCCAACACCTCATTATGAATCATTAGAATACTGCTAGTTATAAATTAACATTAGATTGATTTTACCAATTTGAACAGTCGCCTAAGTGTTTGGCATTTTTTTTTTCATTCATTTCTTTGCTTTTCTCAAAGTGGACATTGATTATAAACTCAAGGAGGAAAACATTCCTATGTGTACAGATACATACTTCTTTTATTGTACAGGAAAATGTGTATAGTTAAATAGAAAAGGGAGGCTATCAGTGTGTGATATGTGATACTGGCAAGGGACCATTTAGAATTGATTATGTATTTTTGTTTGTTTATTTGTACTATAGTAGCCAATGTCAACCTATATTTATTTCCTTTGGGACAGAAAGAGTTTTGTGGTATAAAAAAGAGACAAGATTTTCTTGTTAGTTGGTGGCTGTTTTTTGTGTTTTTGTTTTCCCCTAGAAAAACATATGCAATCGATAACGTACAAAAAAGTATTTTTTAAATAGAACAAAACCAGTGGCTTTTGTAAACATTTCATATAATCAGAATTTATCTTGAAAGAGACTTAAAATTCAGGAATTTAAGCTTGCAAATGGGGTCATGAAAGTAAGTTAACATATTTTGTAATCTGCCAAGAGGTTAAGTTAACGAATCACAACCACTTGTGTCTAACGAGAGACATATCTGTAAGGACATTTATGTTTTGTTATAGTTAGTTGTTTCTAAATGTATGACTGAAGTCTATTTGACAGTACAGAATTTTAGCAGCTTCTGATGGTTCAGGTTTTGTTCATGAAATTAACAACTGATTATTTGTCAAGATGATTAGGAAGCTGTGTGTATATTGATAATGGTGGGTGGAAAGGGACCAGAGTGGGATAAACATATTATTTAAAGGATTAAAATATTCAACCCTTCCTTGTGCTGAGACGAATAATAAAACACTTCTTCAGTGTTTCATTTGTTTAGTCCCAGCAGTCCTCTTGAGCACTAGGAGCATTGAGATAGTTTTGAAATGAGGCTCAGATGTTGAGCTGCCAAAATAACTTATCCTGATTACCAAACAAAAATCAAACTAAACAGCCATAACGTTTGCCAGTGTATTTCTCATTTTCTCAAAAGTAAGGAGGGCTTATTGCTTCCAACACCAGAGCTTACGCCACTGCAGTACACATTCAGGTCCTCATCTGGCTTTTAACTGGGGACTGATACCACAAGTAGAACCCTGCCCTGTGATGACAAAAATGACATCAATGAGCTTTAATGTTCTACACCCAGAGGTCAGGGTCCTGGCAGGATAGCACTTAATATATGCAAGGGGCAAAAGTATTCATCTTGGCCTAATGCTAATTGCAACTCTTCAATCACTATTTGGAAAGAACAAAAACAACTTGAAGAAAATTAGTGCTTGACTCAAAGGGATTAAACAGTCTCACCTTTTGGGATCTACGATTTTGTAGAGTTTTCCATTGTGAGTCTGAGTCATACTTTTGCTGCTTGATAATATGTAAACTTCACCTGTTGAAGAGAAAAGAACAGTAAGTTAACTTACTTATAAGACTTTACTTATTGCCAAACAATGAGTGACCCCTGCTGCTAAAACTCTCCAACTCTTGGTGCTAAGCTGTGTTCATGATGTGGGGCAGCAGGTAGGGCAGCCTTTTGGGAGAAAAAGACCATTATTTATGACTGCTAATTCCACATAATTTAATATATAGAATGGATCTGAGGAATAGGAAATCGGAAGTTATAGTTATGATTTTACACTTATAAGGTTGCAAAATTTATATTTAGTTCTTATTCATGAAATAGTAGTTTTAGGAGAGTAGCAATGGCATATGCTTTATTTTTAAGTTCTGGTCCCAATATAGTATTAAGTATACCCAGACATTCAATATATTTTAACCAGTGGTGGTTAATACAATGATTGTTAATAAGTCATTTATAGTTAAGATCTGGGAAAAGCAAAATGATTCAGTCATAACATCTAAATATTCATTTCTAACTCTTCCAAAATTTAATTGCTTTTAAAATTAAGTTTGCTAATCAAGTTAAAATTATATCACAGAGGGGGCTAGCAGATGGCCTGGTGGTTAAGCTGGCTGAATTTCCACATGGCAGAGCATAGCTCGAGTCCTGGACCTGGTGACTTAAAAATCCCTCTGGGCGCGTGTGTGTGTGCCCAAAATCCTAAGAGAAGAATGAAGGGAAGGAATTACAACATGGCTAAACCCCTCTGGAGAGTGACTTCTCACTTTCCCTCTCTCTGTCTCTCTCTGTCTCTCTTGTCGGAGAGACAAGCACATATGTTGTATGGCAGAAACCTAAAAAAAATAAATAAAAGAAGTGAATATAAATAAATAGATTATATTAAGGAAGTTGTAGGGTGTAAGTGACAAAAAGTTTTCTCATTCTTTTAAATGGGGTAGGAGAATGTCAAGGAAAAATTAACTGTAAAATGCTTTCAATGTTGGAATAAGAAAATAACAGATTAGACTTCTCTTTAACTCTTTATATTCCTTTGAGTCTGAAGTATGTCCTATGTATTTTGGGAGTCTTGTCTGAGTTCCCTTATTAATCTAAGTGGATGACATGGAATTCTTTTTAATGAAGTATCCTTTTTATGTAAGAAAACCAAAATATTCTAATTTGTCTGGGAAACATACACTCTTTTTTTAATGTCGAGAAATTAATCTATGAAGCTAAAGGAATATAGTAACTATAGTTTGTTTGGATATTGGTCTTTTAAGGTAGTGATTAGCAAAGTTACATTTATCCCTGTAACTGAAAATCAGTAGAGAATATGATTTTCACTCTTTGATTGATCACATCCCAATTTCAACTTCTTTTTGTTTGTTAAGCAGTGTACATTTTGACAAATATACACGGAAGTGTATTTTTTCTCATAGAGTGCCAATGGAAAGGTAATTTCTGTTCTATTAGGAAGAAGATCTAGAGCTCAGATTATCTTGCACAAATTTTATGCCATTGGGGGGGGGGAGTAGGAAATAGAGATGAGTTTCAGATTCCAAGAAGTTTTTTTATTTGTTGAGACATGGATAAATGGAGAGGTGTTCAGAAAAAGAATATAAACAAATTACTCAAATGCATAATCAAAACTATTAGTAGAATATACAAAATTCCTTCTTTGGGACTCAAAAATTCTCTCTTATGCTTGTCTCTTATTTATCTGCTTTATGTATTTTTTTTTTTAAAAGCTGGGGGAAGGAGAGAGACCAGCAGATAGCATAATGGTTACGTTGCTGGACTCCCATATAGTCCACTGTGGTCTGAGTCCCAGACCAGGTTGCTTGAAACTCACGCCAGGCACGTGTGCATGTGTGCCCAAGATCCTGAGAGAAGAACGGAGGAAAAGGGATTGTGGCATGTTCATCACCCTGGGGTGGGGGGGAGGGTGATTTTTTGCTTTCTATCTCTCTGGCGAGCATATGTACCCTACAACAAAAATCTCTCTTTTTAAAAAAAGGAAGGCCTAGGGGAATGTATACTTACCAGAAAGATACAGAGAGACAGGGAGAGGGAGAAAGCACCTTCTTCCCCATTTCTCCTTCCTGTTTAGATTTTGGACATGTACCCAGTGTGTTTTTCAAGTTACCAGGGCCAAGATTTGAACTGCAGTTGGCCATGTGGGATCCAGATCCTTTAACCACCAGGTCATTGGACAAGCCCATTACTCTTGTATTTCTAAAGTGGAAATAAAATATAAAAACCCTCAGGAAAGGGTACTGGAAAGAATATATAGCTGGACCATCTTTTACCTCTCCAGTAATTTATTTTTACTGTATATTTCCAACAAATGGAGGGTGAGGTTGTCAGGCTTGTTCTTCAAGGCCAAATAAAGCCTCTCGAGCAAAGGAGTTAGAACTGAAGAGAAAGAGAAAACAGTTCACAGTACCTAATTCATCTTCTCCAAATCCCAAGATGTGACCCGAAAAGTAGCCTCTACAGGAACCACTAGTGCCAAGACAGAGTGGTTTTTCTTGCCATTGCTTGGTCACAGGACTTTGTTGGAGAGTTAAGAAATTCCTACAACAAATACACATCATAGACCTACAATGAAAACATGCTTTTGCTTAAAGACCACAATAAGATATTTAAAGTAAAATTCATAATAAATAACTGTTGTGCCACAGACCTGGCTTCCAAAGGGAAAGATAATATAGCCCAAAATGTGTGTATTATGAAATTCCCATATGCAGAGAAAGTAGTTAAAGATTTGCTTTGTTTGGGGGGGCACTAAAAGTACCTCATATGAGAAAAGCCCTCTCCTTCATCCAGAGACTGATACTTCCTCGCAGAACTAGAATCCATGCTGTGCTATTAATCAGAGAAAGGAATAGGGCAAAGACCATAGAGTCAGTAGACTGTTCTGGTTTTTCATAGTGACCAATGCCATATGCCTGAATGCCAGTAACTTGGGAAATGAGAATCTTAATTTGGATTTCATCAGTTTCTTATGCCTATTCACAATGTGACCTTGAAAGTCCAGGCTAAAATCTAAATTTTGTAGTAATCCAACCTACAGGAACAAATTACATGCTGTTGCCCAAAGGTCCTGAAACTGTGGCCAAAATGAAAATTCTTAGCCTCTCAAGATCATTTGAAAAATCTGTGTACAACTCATGTCAAACAACAGTCTTCAGATTACTCATTGTCACTGTAGATTTACGTGGAAGATGAAGGGAAGAAACTAAATACAGGAAGTTTATCTGAAGACTTCTCCACCATTAAAAATTATTTTATGAACTTGATAAGCCTGTTGGAAAAGGATCTCTTTGGAAGTTCTTTAATTAAAGTACCGTCTATAGTGGAATTAAATGTAAATAATATTTCTGTGTGTCCCAGATCTGACCCCCTGGGGAGAGTTGCTTGACTCTTTTGTGGCAGTTTGCCAAAGATGAATGGATACGTCACTTGGTATATCAAATTGTGGTATCGGGGAACATACCCATTACGATCGCCAAACACATAGCTTCCATATAGTCTTTCAGACTGGCAGCCTCGGTAAACAAATCCACCAACCAAAGGGCCATTGCTGAATGGTTTGAACTCTAAAAGTGATGGCTCACTTTCTGAAAAAAAAAAGACATAGCATTAGATCGAATGCAAGATATTTTCATAAAGTAAAAGAAATGCAGGTGAAGTGGCAGTTACAATCATTTAATTCTGAAATGTAAGCCATGATGCACGAGATGAAACCTTGCTGTAAATATTTAGTGAAAATTACTCTGCTTAAAGAGTATCAAAATTGTAAGGACCTCCCACACACAGCTTAATGAAAGGAGACTGCTCTGCAAAATGCTTGCTGCTGTTACAATTGCCAACACATACCAAGTTTTCAATGAAATTAGAATCTGGATGTTTTGGAAATCAGGATTATTTACTTGGAACTACAAACTTTAAAGAAACAAAACCTTTTTTTTTGAATATTGAATTTTTTGGTGGAAATGCTTCTATATAAATTTAGTAAATCAAACCATCTCTATCAAATTACATATAATTTTAAAAGTTCACACTCTGGTGAAAATAAGAGCATGGTATATAGAAGATGTTTAAAAACACATTCATTATATATTTTAACACATTATTTGTCAAGTAATGTCATCTAAAATTTTTTAATAGTTTTGTTTATAGAGTTGGGTGGCAAACAAAGTTTATTCAAATAATTCCTCTTGAATTGCATGTGTCTGGTCATATATGTCACTCTTCCCATGCATTATGTAGGCCGTTATTGTCCTTGAACTTACATGTATGCTAATTGCAGTGGAAAAACTCTAAAGCCAGTGGCAAATTGATCTGGAAATTACTTCCTCCATATTCAATGTCCAAGAGTCATTACAAACAGCATTATTAATAGCATTATCAACATCTAGATACTCCATATCGTAATCATATCATCATCTCCATAATCACATGATATTTATAAAAAGCAGAAAAGAGAAGTTTTAAATAACGCACAGTGAGAGGTAGCATCGCTGAATGATTCAGGTTACAAACTCTGGAGAAATGCTACTTGGGTTCAAATCCAGGCCTTGCCCCTTTAATGTGGTGTGATAATTAACCTTTCCGTGCCTCAGTTTCCTGATCTGTACAACGTGGCCCGTGGTACTGCCAATCACACAGAGTTGTTCTGGAACTGAAATGAGCAAAATCTATAAAGGGCTTACCACAGAGTCTGGCATGTTGAGGGCACTGTGGATGTGTTTGAAATGTGTAACTGTAGGGCTATTAATGTTGTAACCAGTTTCAGCTGAACCTCAATTAATGGGGTTGTAGAATTTAGTTCAATCTGCAGATCTAGCCAAGATTCCATTGAATTAGTGACTCATGAGGTTTTTTTTTTTTTTTTTTTTTTTTCCCTCTCAAACCACATTATTTTTTGGTTTGGCTTTTAAAGGGTACACACACACACACACACACACACACACACACATACACACCTGGAAAAAAAATAAGGTAAAATAACTGAATACCACATGAACTAACACAGCTGCTTCATTCCTGGTGCTAAATAAATACCTGTATTGAATGAGTAAATAGAAAAAGGCAATCAATTTAATCATCTTAATCTACTGTGTTCCCTGAATCATAACATTTGATCCATTGCTTCCTTCAAAGGGAATAAGTACTAAAATATTGCAAAATAGTGCTTTTGTCTTTGCTATCAAGTTTTATTTTGTTATTTTTTAAAAAGTTCATTAATTTACTCTCCCATGAGCAAGAGAGACAGAGAAAGAGAGAGAGGAAAGAGGCAGCTTCCCCTTAACACTGACTCACCGAGGGCAGGCGTGCGTTCAGCACACTCAGGGAGGTCTCCAGACTCGAATCAGGAACCTTCGTGTGGGATTGCCTCACAGGGCATTGTGCTACTCCACTCTCTGGGCCCTCAAATTTTATATTTTATATGTTCTCTTTTAATATTCTAGTAATCATGTTTTAAAATATACTGTTTAAATTATATATGCCCATTAAACATGCTGATTCAAAAAATCTGCTAGGGCTGGGACTCGAACTGTGGCAGTAGGCCATGTGGTATCCAGCTGCCTTAACCACCTGGCTGGCCCATGAGCTGATTAGTTTATTATGTTAAATAAACAAGTCATTTGTCTTGATTCTTAGATGAGCAAAAGATAAGCAGCTTTTAATGGTCCATTCACATTTTTGGATCTACCAAGAACCGTTCAATCCACAGAAAAGGTAGTTAACCAGTGGAACCCTTCGGGCTTGTAAGAGTCACCTGACTTTTAAAAAGTGAATGGTTTACTCCGTTGCTACTGTCAGGCTGGTATTTTTATGCTTTTGCAAGTGCTCACTTTGCAGAAATCCCTTTTTCTTTGATTAACATACTAAAACAAAATCCAAACAAAAGCGAAATCAAGAAATTATGCTCTACTTACCATAATCTTTCCCCTTTATGATTTGGAGGATTCTGGCTGATGATCTGTTTTTTCCATTGGAGTCTGAACAAAGTATGGTTAAATTGATGTTTATATCAGTGGGCTGTCGGTCCACGGCACATCTGCATAACGGAAAAGGGGACACCCATTAACGCCTCCTGGGGAATCTTCCAGACTCAGACTGGAGATTCCTGACAGAGGAAGGAAGCCTTTGTGGGCTGGCGAGAATCCCACGGGCAATTTAGTTTGGATCTTTTAGAAACCGCTAAGGGAAACACCCTGATGTGTTTGTTTACTCTGCCGAACCTTAATGATCCTGGAGTGAATTTCTCAATTTCTTTTGGTATCGGCCTCCGTTATGAATGTGCACACTGTCTTCAACATTTGTTAGTCTGCTGTTAAGGAATATCATGCGGTCACTTATTAAGAGGAAGAATCGGTGTCATAATCAGCTCACGTGTGCATCACGCAATATATTATACTATTAGTTTTGCGTTTCTTACATGGGATTGCTACATTCTAGACCTCAGGCTTCCCTACAAAGGACAACATGCATTCCAGTTCAAGGCTTGAAATAAAGCTGATCTGCACAGACATCGATGTCTTTGACGTTGACTCTGTCTTCATTTTCTCCCCTCCTAATCTGAGGCCAGACTATCTCTGTGATGGAAGCCATTGACTATAAACTCTCTAGGGCAGGGACCACTTCCAACTCCTTTTACTGTGGTTCTACTACACAGTTCAAAGCGGGGATACAGGAGGCTCAATATTTGTTGAATGTGTAAGTCACTGAGAGATTGGGAATGGAGAGTTTGGGTTGGGGAGAAGAATGAAGTTGTATAATATAATTTTTGAAGTGCTCAGAAATGTGGACCACAGGGTCAGGTGGTGGCATGGAGGTTGGCGCACTGGATCCCACATGGCCAACTTCATAGTTTGAGTCCCTGACCCTACAGTTTGAAAATAATACCTGATGCATGTGCATATGGAGGAAAGTGGAGAAGAGGACTGTGGCAGGGTCACTCCCTGGGAAGGGGGGTGATTTCTCACTTTCTCACTTGCACAAGCACATTTGCCCTATAGAAAAACTAAAGAAAAAAATGTCAAAAATAGGTTTCATATTTTTAGGTTTCTCAATCTTGTCACTATTGACATCTTGGGCCAGATAATTCTTGGGGCCTAGGGGTCTGTCCCAAGAATTAGAGGATATTTAGTACCTCTGGCCATTTAGCCACTAGATGAGATAATACTACCCCATCCCCATTCCACCCCAGTTGCGAAAATAAGAAATGTTTCCGGACATTGCCAGGCGGCCCTTGAGGGTAAAATTATTCCCTTGAGACTCACTGTTTTAGACCACCACCACCACCAACAACAACGAATACATTAATGACTTAAACACAAAACGAAACTATGAGGACTACTAAATACATTTAAAAATAAATTTTAAAAAAATTGAGAATAGGGGCTAGGTCTTAGAGACTTAGTTATTAAAAAACAAAGGAATCCAAAACGGTTGGCTCCAAATGATCCCATTCATGATAGAGGAACTGTAAGCCTGACCTGCCAAAGATGGGTTCGTTGTTCTATGACAATAGTCTCCTTATTGTCCTCCTTAATTCAATGATTCACAGAGCAACAATGCCTGGCAGGGATCATGACACAGACACGCTGTGGTTTAACGTGGAACTAAATCCATACAGGGTAAGAGAACTTGCCTGTATTACCTTTCTTTTGAAGATGGAGACGCTATGACAAAAAAGAGGTTTGACTGGTTTCCCACAAGAAACAGCAGATTAGAAGAAAAGGCCAAGTATCCTGGAGGTGAAGTTGCTAGGGGCTGTGAGGCCCAGCTCTGGCTGAATACCAGGTCCACTGAGAACTACTTGACCTTCTAACCTTTAGTTTCACATATGCAAAAGGGCCCCAACAGCGAAACTATCTGTATGATACTAAGATGATGGATACATGTCGTTATCCATTTATCGAAACCCGTAGAATGTACACCAAGAGCGATCCCTGGTGTAAACTGTGGCTGCTGGGTGGTTCTGACGTGTCAGGGTCAGTTCATCAGTTATAACAAATAGACCACTCTGTGGGGCCTGACGGCAACGGGAGGGTCTACACATGTGACGGGGCAGGGAGTATGAGGGAAGTCTCTAACTTATGCTCAATTTTTCTGTGAACCTAAAAGTGTTCTAATAATAGTTTGTTTGGGGCCAGCAGGTGACGTAGTAGTTAAGGCACTGGACTCCCACATGGCTGACTGTGGTTCAAGTCCTGGACCCGCTGACTTAAAACTCACAGTGGGCATGTGTGCGTGTGTGTGTGCCCCAAATTCCAGGAAGATAATGGAAGAGAAGGAATTGCAGTGAGGCCATCCCCCCGAAAGGGTAATTTCTCAGTTTCGCTCTCACTGTTCCTGTCTCTCCAGCAAGTACACACACCTATAACAAAACCTTCAAAAAAAATGCTATGGGGGGGGGGTGTCTGTAGTACTATGTAGTATTATGCACAGGGTGGAGTACTATGCTCTAGTACTGCTGAGAGCATGAAGGACACAGTGTACGCAAGACACAGTCCGGCACCCTGCAGCAAAGAGATTAGTAAAGTTAGCTTTTTTAGTTTCCTTTCAGTTTTATTAAGTCTTCTTCTGCATAAAATACTCTTGGAGGGAGATGGAATATAAACACAACCCTTCCCTTCAGCCCTCTGCCACCAGAGGAGCTAAGACCCCAGAACACAGGCATCTTGCCACGCGTATGGTCTGTAAGACGCCTCATCCCCTGTTTATGCACTGAGGCTCAGGACCCCCAGGAAGGTGGCGAGAAAGCTCCAGGGGGATTGTGGTGACTCAGGCTGCTCGACTTCAAAGTGCTGCTTTGTGGTGGTATCTGTGAGTTCTGAGCTATAGGAATGGAATGTGACAGTTTCCTCCACATCCTGAACCCACCTTAAGTATTCCCTGTCGCACAGATTTTAAGATCTGCTGAGATGCCAAAAAGGAAATGAACTGTAGACTTGGGCTTTGATGGAGGGGAGATGAAGGGCATGAGGGATTATGAAAATAAAACGTTCGAGAAATATTCACCTTGCACATAGTGAACACTCAATAAACATTAAATGGCAATAATAACTTAGCCAGTAAATGAACGAATGTGGTCAGATACCCCTTAGTACGCATAATAGACCACAGACTGGATGAAGCTTTCATCATCGAATTGCTATATTATACTTCACAGCACTTCTAAAGTGTACCCAGCATTTCTCACTGCACAGACGTCTTAGTTTTCCATTCTTTATAGCTCATTATAGTACAGCAAGCAGTCGATACGATTTCCTTTTGTATATGTAATTTTTTTCAAGTGAAAAAGTAAACATTTATCTCAACTTCTTGCCAATGAGTACTACTCCACTCTGCATTCAGTGAAGGAAGCCATGATAACAAAAACAGTAATTTATGTAAAACCTGCCAGCCATGAGATACTCCACTGTGCTTTTTACCCACACAGTTTTCTCTAATCACTAGAGCATCCTTGCAAGGTAGTTATTAGCACTCCCATTTAGTACTAGGTTGTTGGAAAAGTTGTGATGTATTTTTTATTTTTCCTTTTTTTGAGAGTGATTTTTGCTACAGGGCGTATATGCTTACGAGAGAGAGAGAGAGAGAGAGAGAGAGAGAGAGAAAGTGAGAAAGCGAGAACTCCACCCCCAGGGGGATGGCCATGCTTCAATCCCTTCTCCTCCATTCTCCTCTAGGGATTTAGGGCATGCACGCACACGTGCCCGGTGTGAGTTTTAAACTACCTGGTCTGGGACTCAAACTGCAGTCAACTACTTGGGAGTCCAGTGACATAATCATTACACATCTGCTGGTCCCAATGGTGTATTTTTTCTATTGATGCATGTTTTTCTATGCACAAATGCATCATGACTTTTCCAACAACTCAATACATAAGGAAATTAACATTAGAGGGGCTTAAGGAAACACAATATTGACCTCCACGTTGTTAAGATTGAAATCTTATTCATTCCTTGAGTCTAGCAGTGTTTCTTGAATAAATATCCCTCCAAATTTTGAGGTGAATTTTTCTTCCATAAATCTGTCTCTATCCTTGCCTAATCTGCCTTCTCCACCTGCTTCACACACTCACAGAAAGAGGGTGAAATACTTGGATAACGATGGGGTGTGAGTGTGTGTTCTCACCTGCCTGGGTCATGGAGCCCATGGGCAAACACTTCGGGGGGCTGGTTGGTGCTGTTGAAGTGCGGGTTGCTCCTCGGGATGGAGTATGGCACGCTGCACATGTCTGTGTCCACGTCCAGCCGGAGCACCGAGCCTGTGAAATCACTGAGACATCGGAGGATGGCATAAATCCTTTGCATTTTCAAGATTATTTCACCTGAATGAAATGGGGCGAGCTTGCTCTATGGAGAAAAGAGTCATCCTCTCATTGGAGACAGTATCATTAAAGTTCCAAATTCCGTATCATGGGAAACAAAACCAAGGGCACTTTGGTTCGCAGCAAGTGACTGCACCAACATACAGCTTGGTGGTGACTGAGGACCGTGGCACTATTAGCACACCGATTTTTGCAGCGGTCCTCTTTATTTCCTGACAACCCACGTATTTGATATCCCCAGAAAGCCTCTGCTTAGTGAAGTGAGTCCATTATGCAGGGCTGAGAGGCAGCAGCTGCACAGAAGCCTGAAGACTGGCTTGCTTCTCGAGGCTGCGTGCAGCAGAGATAGCCTTGCAGCACAGGGCTACATGACAGCGACAGTAACTTCCTTTAGGACCAAAGGGAGTATTACATCAATGTCTTACTGAATTCTTCCCCACTTTATAAATGCAGACACTGACAACAAAAGTTCAAAGTGATGGAACTCAAAGATGAGTCTTGGGACCAGCAGTTGGTGTAATGGCTACGTCGCTGGACTACCACAGTCAACCGTGGTTCGAGTCTCGGACCTGGTGGCTTAAACTCATGCTGGGCGTGCGTGCATGCATGCCCAAAGTCCCGAGAGGAGAATGGAGGAGAAGGGATTATGGCATGGCCATCCCCCCTGGGTGAGGGGGTGATTTTATGCTTTCTGTTTCTCTGTCTCTCTCTTTCTGGTGAGCGCACATGCCCTATAGCAAAAACCTCTTTAAACAAACAAACAAACAAACAAACAAACAAAAAACAAACCATGAGTCTTAATTCACTGACTCTGACCCTTTTTCCTAGCAGTCAAGAGGAAGCTGCTTGCTGTCAGCCTTTTACCTTAACCCATCCATCTCTTCCATATCATCCAGTGTGATCATCCCATCACCGAGAATGATGTACAAAAAGCCATCAGGGCCGAAGAGCAGCTGTCCACCCAGATGCTTCCGGTGGAGTTCTGCAACTTCGAGAAACACTCTGGCTGTTCTTGGATCAACTTGGTGGGGGTTTTTCCTACATTGTGAGAAGAAACAATACAATGATATTTAAAGATGTAAGGTGAATCCTCTAGAAAGCAAACACTTAGTGCCCAGAGAGGGATGCCACTACCTGGCATATAAATATGGTAACATGTACTTGAAATGGAACTGATACAAATTACTGATAAATTACATCATTTAAAAGGTTTTCTAAGTAGTATTTAAATTGAAAGCTAAATGAGGAAAAGTGCAAAAGCCATCATTTTTCTCTATTTCCCTTAAAGCACCCATAGAGGGGCTTAAGCAAGATAGAGATTGTGTTTTAATCATTGCCACTTTATGGCTCTTGTAACTTCAAAATAAAAGGTTTAAGCAGAGCTGGTGAGAAAATAAGATTTAAAAATTGTGATGCTCTGATGCATTTTCGCGATACCTGGATACTGTGTACTCCACAACCCGAAGAATGTGGTCATGAGGCCCGATAGCCCACCGTTCTTGGTTGGTGGTATAAGACACGTAGAGCTTTCCATTTTTCTTGTAATTGGGATGGAATGCAAGGCTTAGCAGTCCTCTTTCATCTCCTCCCTGCAGTCAAATGAAAAACACAAAGAATTGTGAAGTTAATTATGTTCTTTATTGTGTTTCAACTGGAACCCCAAAAGAGTCTCTTTCTTTCTTCAGGATAATCTTTGCCCAACCTCTTTTCTTCCTTGCCTCCTGCACAAAAAAGGATTATAAAACATTTCACTTTGTGGAACTCTTTAAGGGTTAGAACAAGACAATTGTCTTGTGTGGTTATCTATGCGCAAGAGTCTTACACCACTTTTGTCAAGTGATTTGTGTACGTAATCTTGGGGAGCTCGGAAGACAAGTTTAAGTGCTGTGTAGAATTCTTTCCTGGGTTACTAGGTTGCTCGTAGTTCATAGAAGACAAATAAAAAGGTTCATAATCAACAGTCACTTCTAATCCAAGTCTCCAAAACCTAAAACACAGTGCGGGCTGCCAACTCCCACTGTCTTGGCAATCTGTTTAGAAAACAGTTAAATTGCTTGTGTAATATGTAAACCTTTGTTTTACCCTGAAGGCATCCACATCAGTTGTCACTACGATGGTGGTCTGTTCATCACAGCTAAGTAATAGGCAGCCTTGGCCTATCTCTGTAGACACGAGAGGTGGTTTTGCATGTACCCTTCACTGCATAGGGTTTTTCTTTATAGACTACTGAAGAAGAGAGAGGAGAGCTAAAGGCCTGAGCTGGGGTTGGGGTGGGAAAAATATTAGAGAGGAAAGGGGACACTAGGAAATAAAAGAAAAAAACATCCCAAACAACTTTTTTTTGTTATTATATGAATGTCAAGAACTGTATACATCAGGCATGCCAGATGCTATAACAATTAAAACATCATCCTGTTCTTAAATAGAAAGGCATTTTATCTTTATTTTCTGCTAATTGGGTTTGTTGAAATTCGATATGGTCTTAGCATTTGTTTTATCCCGCAAGTAGTCTAGGAATTTCTATAATGAAATCAGAGTATCTAAAATGATCTAAATCAGAGACTTAAAGTTTGTATTTGAGCAAGGTGGCATTACATTTTGCCTATAGTCTAATGGTTATCCACATTGGTGAAAAACCCAACAGAAATGGAATGCTATGTCACCTTATTTAGTCCCTTAGACATCACAGTATCTCCTCTGGCAAAAAGCTATGAAAAGTTACTCTCCCTCTGAAGTGCTAGAAGAGGAAAAAAAAATCTCTAACACTGCAAAATCTTCACTAGGTTATGCACAATCATGAAAGCATTCTTATGTTTTTGTCCCACAAAGTAGCATATGTTATTAGCAAAGCACAGAACTGTATGTAGTTTGTATACTGCATAGATTTGAGAGGTTAAAGTTTAGGCATAAAAGTTCTCTCTTGAAATAAACATTGTTTGATGTGTTTCTTGGCTTAGAGAAAACTGCTTTCCAATATATACCATGCGTGGTAGAAATGTCCCAATTTTGAAAGTGTATAAATAATGAAGTGGATGCAAATATCCCAGAACTACCAAATCATTATTCAAATGTCATAAAGTCAACCTTTTTGCATGCGCTTAGTTTTAATTTTTAATCACAAGGGTAAGAGTCTAATGAACATGATTAATAAATGAGCCTATGTTTCTCAGATTAATTCTCTGATGATCTTAATATTAAGTTGATACTGCTGTTTTTCTTCTTAGATCTTCCCTGAATAAATCTCTTGGCTTTCTTATGAGAGATTGGACACTGGGACATGCTACTAAAATTCGGTAGTAGAGAAGCCACTGCACATGTTTAAACCTCCCTGATGGATTGTGTAAGGAGGCCCAGGGGTGGGATTTAGTTTGTGATTAATTCCTCTCTCGAATATGCTTTTCTCTAAATCTGTGAGTGCAGGTTAAGTACTGCATGCCTGCTTTACAAATGTTTGTGTTCCGCTATAAGAAGCTTTTGTTGAAAGTAGTTCTTTGTAGTTTTTAATCAAATCATCAGAAATACAATTTGAATTAGATAGCAACATGGTTTAAAACTGTGCTGGTTGCTTTTCAGGAATTAGGACTGTAGAATTAGTGTATCGTAGAAAGACAGATGGGAAAAGAGATGTAAACAAATCCACAAATGACAGAAAATCATTCACTCGAGCAATACACCTATCATCACACGAATGAATTTGGGAGTATCAACAGCGTTTACTGAAGTACTAAATATGGAAACAGAATGTCACTTGTGAATGACGGGGAAATAAATCGAAAGTACAATCAGTCAGTCATTCTGAATTCTTCAGGCTATAAGATTTAGATTTGATGTATTGTTTCATGTAGTTGCGTTTCATAACTCCAGGTACAAAGCAGTGTTCTGGTTAATTTAGAATCTTCTTTTTGTCTTTCTTAAAATTTTATTTTATACATTCAGTCAATGTACATCACCACAGCTTATAAAATGAAATTTCCCAGCATAAATACACTACACACCAGTCCAATGAACGATACTATCATACGCATTATCATCAACAGACAATCCTCCATTTTGGTGTCCCTTAAATGTCTTCTCTATTTTTCTCCTTGATTACCTTCCTCTCACCCTCCCCCATCTCCCACCTTCCGCCACACTGTCTCCAGTACCCGCAACATTCTCCATCCTAGAATCTTGACTAATCCCCTTAAGTCATTTCAGAGAAATACTTTCATAAGGATATTGAAAAAACTTAATGTATTACATAAATATCCTAGAGTGTCAAAACCAGTCTTTACCATTACATAAAAGGACTCATGACTGTTCAAAGATTAGAAAAAGACAGGTATCGTCTTGCTATACCAAGAGATTAAGTATTGATAGGGTCACATTTTACCTTGATTAGCTTTCAGAGCTATGTTGTCTATGCAATTAAAATAGTTTACTGACAAATGATAGTTTAACTCTCAAATGCAAACCCACCTTTGAGGTCTGGGTCATTTTTTCAAGGTCTATGTGGAGGAATATGTTGATTGGGCATTGAAGGGTTAGTTTTGGGCCAGGGTCACTTCAAGGCCATACCACCAGAAACACTACAAGAAACACCACCAGGGCTGGCAGGTGGTGTGGTGGTTAAGGGCGCTAGATTCCCACATGGCTGACCTTGGTTCGAGTCCCAGACCTGGCGGCTTGCTTTCTTACTTTCCTTCTCTCTCTCACTCTGTCCCTCTTCGGTCAAATTAAAATAAGCAAAAATACATAAAATATTTATATATATATATATATAAAAGAATCACCACCAGATATTTTAGGCCTCTCCAAGGGTGCATCAACTGTAGGTTCTTTTTTTAAAAAAATTATTTAACTTTATTTATTTATTTTAATTTAACTAGAGAGAGGAGAAAGAGAGAGAGAGAAAGCCATCAGGTCCGGGACTCTAACCACAGTTGGCTATGTGGGAGTCTAGCTCCCTTAACCACTACGCCCCCTGCCAGCCCCTATCAACTGTAGTTTTATAAAGACACTGTCCTAGTCTGAGTGCCTGAATATTGGTGCCTGGAAGCTAAGACTGGCTAACAGACCAGACCTCCCAGGCTCCTGTCCCTCCCTTCTATTATCTCCATCTTCTTTACCCCAGCTCTGTGTTCAAAGCCTCATTCTGTTGGTTTGAACCCCAATTCCAGAGGCTTCTCTTTGCCATGTCAAAATCTGATAACCCAGCTTGCGAGGCTCAGCAGAAAGAATCAACAGAATCCCTGTGCCAATGTTACTAACTCCTCTTCTTACTCCTTCCCTTCCTCTCCCTCATTATGTGTGGCTTTATGGCTCAGAGTATATGGAATCAAAATCATGCAGTCCTTCCAGGAATGTCAAATCATTGAATTGATTCTAGGGAGCATCTGGGGAGAATGAACCTCTAAATGATTAGTTGAGCCAAGCTGGCTAAAAAGAGAGAAAAACACATGAGCAGAATGGCAAATAAAAGATTTGTGGTGCAGGGAGTCCAGCCGTTCAAAAAGACATTGATTTTTAGAATTATACTTTTGAAAATTGCTCACCAATGTCCCAAATGTTTATCCTTATCCATGCAAAAAGCAGTGACTAGTCCAAACAGTCACACTGTACTTGTGTTTCATTATGAACACTGAACACTTTGTGTGTGTGTGTGTGTGTGTGTGTATGTGTGTGTGGGTGGTGTTTTCTGGGGATGCACACACAGCAACACGAGAACCCAAATGGAAGCCCAATGGGAACTGAGTACTTTTATAAACAATACTTTAGGGTTTCCTCTATTTGGAAATGCTTTCTTACTTTTTTCTTAAACTCACTGAGTGGAGTCCTACCCAGTGATCATAGGCTTCCCACGAACCTTCTTGCCCCTTTGCTCAGATCTCTTAATATTACATCAATTTCTGATGTTCATCAGTCCCACACCAAGTACAAATGACTGCTCCAAATTGTATTGTTGAGTGATGCAAGGTAATGTCCCTGAATCTTGGCATTGATCTATGTTTGTCATAGTAAATCATAAAACCCTCCTCAGACACTTTTAATAAACTAGTGAACGGTCAGACACTCTAGTTATCATTCAGCTCTTTGGAGCAATTTCACAGGTCCACAGAAACAAGACAAAACCCTTAATCAGATGTTGATAACTTCAGTGTAAGTACAAATTCAGATCTATTCCTGTAGTTTTGGCGTAAACTGCTGAGCAGATAGATCACAGTTCTAAATACCTACTTAAGAATGCCCCTCTTTTTGAATAATACAAAGTATCTATTTTAAAAAGAGATGTAATGGGACCAGCAGTTAGCATAATGGCTATGTTGCTGGACTCCCATGTAGTCGCCTGTGGTTCAAGTCCCAGACCTGGTGACTTAAAAATCACACCAGGTGCATGTGCGTGCATGCCCATGATCCTGAGAGGAGAATGGAGGAGAAGGGATTACGGCATGGCTATTCCCTCTGGGCAGATGATTTCTCGCTTTCTGTTTCTCTGTCTCTCTCTCTCTTTATAGTGAGTGCACACGCCCTATGACAAAAAAAAAAAAATCCTCTCCGGAAAAAAAAAAAAGAAATGTAATCATAAAATAATTGTAACAGAAATTATTTT